CACAAAAAAAGACATAAGCTAACAGATTGGATATGCAAACAGGATCCAGCATTTTGCTGAATATAAGAAACATACTGCAATAACAAATACAGACACTACTACCACAGAGTAAAATGCTGGAAAAAAGTCTTACAAGCAAATATTCCCAAGAAACAAGCTAGATTTGTCATCCTAATATCCAATAAAATGCTTTCAACCAAAAGTTTTCAAGCAAAATGGGGAAGGACACTTCATATTTATCAAAGGGAAAATACACCAAGAGGAAGTCTCAGTTCTGAATATCTATGCCCCAAATGCAAGGGCAACCACATTTATAAAAGAAACTTTACTAAAGTTCAAAACACACATTGAACCCAAGACAGTGACAGTGGGAGACTTCAACAACCCACTCTCACCAATGGACAGGTCATTGTAACAGAAACTAAACAGACAAAGTGGAACTAATGCAGGCTATGATCTAAATGGATTTAACAGATATATACAGAACATTTCACCCTAAAACAATAAATATACCTTCTTCTCAGTGAGTCATTGAACCTTCTCCATAATTGACCATATAAACTCTCAAAAAACAAGCCTCAACAGATTTAAAAAAAAAAAGATTGAAATAATCCCATGAATCCTATTAGCTCACTATGGATGAAGACTAGACTTCAATAACAACATAAACACAGAAAATGAACATACCCATGAAAAGTGAATAACTCTATTCAAGGATAAATTAGTTACAGAAGAAATAAAGAAAGAAATTAAAGACTTCCTAGAATTCATTGAAAATAATGGCACAGTATATTCAAATGTATGGGGCAAAATGAAAACAATGCTAAGAGGAAATTTCATATCACTAAGTGAACACATAAAGAAATTAGAGAGATTCTAAATTAATAACTTAACAGCACAACTGAAAGGCCTAGAACAAAAAGAAGCAAAGACACCCAAGGGGAGTAAAAGGCAAGAAATAGTCAAACTCAGGGCCAAAACCAACCCAATATAAACAAAGTGAATGATAAAAAGAATCAACACAGCCAAATGTTCATTCTTTGAGAAAATCAACAAGATAGATAAGCACATAGCCAGGTTAACTAAAGGACACACAGACAGTATCCAAATTAACAAAATCAGAAATAAAAAGGGAAACATAACAATAAAAATTAAGGAAAAAATTTTAAATGATCACATCCTACTACAAAAGTCTATAGTGAACAAAACCAGAAATTCTAGATAAAAAGGATGATTTTCTAGACAGATACCATGCACCAAAGTTAAATCAAGAGCAAGTAAACTATCTGAACAGTCCCATATCTCCTAAGGAAGCAGAAGTCATTAAACTTCCTAAGAAAAAAAAAGTTCAGGGCCAGATGGTTTCAACACAGAGTTCTACCAGACCTTCCAAGAAGAGTTAAACACCAACACTCCTCAAACTATTCCATAAAATAGAAACGGAAGGAACACTATCTATTTCATTCTATGAAGCCACAATTATGCTGATACCCAAACCACACTAAGATCCAACAAAGAATGAGGACTTCAGACCAGTGTTGCTTTTGAGTATCAATGCAAAAATACTCAATAAATTCTAGAAAACTGAGTCCAAGAATACATCAAAACCATGATTCACCACAATCAATAGGCTTCATCCCAGAGATGCAAGGTTGGTTCAATATATGAAAATCCATTAAAGTAATCCACTATATAAACAAACTCAAAGGAAAAAAAAATCACATGATCATCTCATTAGATGTTACAAAGACATTTGACAAAATAGTGTACCTCTTCATATTAAAAGTACTGGAAAGATCAGAAACTCAAGGCCCATACCTAAACATAATAAAATCAATATACAGCAAACCAACAGCCAATATCAAATTAAATGGAGACATACTTGCAGAAATCCCACTAAAATCAGGGACAAGGCAAGACTGACCATTCTCCTGGTATCTATTCAATATAGTTCTCAAAGTGTAGCTACAGTAATAAGACAACAAAAGGAAATCAAGGGGATACAAATCAACAAAGAAGAAGACAAGGTATCACTATTTGCAGATGATATGATAGTACACATAAGTGACACAAAATTTCTATCAAAGAACTTCTGCAGCTGATAAACATCTTCAGTGTAGTGGACACATATAAAATTAACACAAAATAATAAGTAGCTTTCGTTTATGGAAATGATAGAAGGGCTAAGAAACAAATTAGGGAAACAACATACTATTCAATAGTCACTAATATAAAATATCTTGGAGTAACTCTTACCAAACACGTGAAATATCTGTATGAAATCAACTTTAAGTCTCTCAAGAAAGAAATCAAAGAAGAACTCAGAAAATAGATTGATATCCCATGCTCAGGGATTGGTAGGATTAACATAGTCAAATGGCCATTCAACCAAAAGCAATCTACAGATTCAACGCAATATCTATCAAAGTTCCAATACAATTCTTCATGGAAACAGCAATTCTCAATTTCATATGATAAAACAAAAAAATCTAGAATGGCTTAAACAATTCTTAACAATAAAAGAACCTCTAGGAAAATCACCATCCCTGTCCTCAAGCTACACCACAGAGCAATAGTGAAAAAACCAGCATTGTATTGGTAGAGAGGCAGGCAGGTCGATCAATGTAATAGAATTGAAGACCCAGAAATAAATTGACACTCTTATACTCTTGGACTTTGACAAAGAAACCAAAAGCATACAATGGAAAAAAAGAAAGCATCTTCAATAAATGGTGCAGAACTAATTGGTAGTTGGAATATGGAAAAATGAAAATAGTGCTATATTTGTCATCTTGCACAAAGCCCAAGTCCAAGTGGATCAAGGACCTCAGTATAAAACAAGATACACTGAATCTAATAGAAGAGAAAGTGGAAAAGAACCTTGGACTGATTGGCATGGGGCCAAATTTCTTAAATACAACTCAGACTCTATGGTCAAGAATTGATAAATGTGACCTCATGAAACTGAAAAGCTTGTGTATGGCAAAGGACATAGTCAATAGGACAAATTGGCAACCTAAATATTGGGAAAAAATCTTCACTATCCCCACATCTGATAGAGGGCTAATATTTAAAATATATAAAGAATTCAAGAAGCTAACCCCCCAAAACCCAAACAACCCCATCAAAAATGGGGTATGGAGCTAAACAGAGAATTCAAAACAGAGGAATCTGGAATAGCTGAGAAGCACTTAAAGAAATGTTCAGAGTCCTTAGTCATCAGGAAAATGCAAATCAAAATGACCCTGAGATTCTGCCTTACACCAATCAGAATGGCTAAGATCATAAACTAGGCTGACAGCACATATTAGTGAGAATGTGGAAAAAGTGAAACTTTCCTGCATTGCTGATGGGATTGCACACTGGTAGAACCACTAAATAAATCAATCTGAAGGTTCCTCAGAAATTGAAAATAGATCTTTCTGAAGACCCAGCTCTACCATTCTTGGGAATTTACCCAAAAGATGCCTCACCATGCCCACAGGGGCACCTGTACCACTATGTTCATAGCAGCCTTATTTGTGATACTCAGAAGCTGGAAACAACACAGATACCCCACAATGGAAGAATGCATACAGAAAATATGGTTCATTTACACCATGGAATATTATTCACCTATTAAGAATGAGGACATCATGAGATTTACAGGCAAATAGATGGAACTAGAAAATATTCTGAGCAAGGTAACTCAGACCCAAAATGACATGCATGATATATACTCAATAGTAAGTGGATATTAGCCATAAAAGCACAGAATACCTAGGTTACAATTCATAGAAATCAATAAGGTTAACAAGCAGAAGATACCTCAATCTCATTTCAGAGAGAGAAGAAAGAAATCTCAGGGTGGGGATTGGGGGCAGAGAGAGGGAGGGACTTGTGTCAGAGAAGAGACAGGGATGAAAAACTGAAACATGATCATGTACTGGGGTTTCAAGAAAGAGGAATGAAGCCTTGAGGCCAGCAGAATGAATGGATACAGGCAACATTAGGAGATAGGAGGTGGGGGTATACACCAGAAAGTACCAGAGACCTGGGAGGTGAGAAACACTCATGATTTAGATGGGGGGACCTTAGATGAAATGAGGGAAGGAACTTGTAGAGTCCACCTCCAGTAGAATGACAGGGCATCGAGTGGAGGGATGGGGTTGCCATCTCACAGTCAAAAACTCAGTCCCAGAATTGTCCCTGTCTAAAAGAATTGAAGGAATAAAAAATGGAAAAAGACTGAGGGAAAGGAGGTCCAGGGACAAGCCCAAATTGGGATCCAGCTTAAGAGGAGGCTCTAAGGCCTCACACTATTACTGATGCTATGGTGTGCTTACATACAGGAGCCAGCATAGCTGTCCTCTGAAAGGCCCAACAAGCATCTGAAAGCATCAGATGCAGATACATCCAACCAAAGGACTGAAGCCAAGGACTTCTGTGGTTGAATTAGGGAAAACTTGAAGAAGCTGAGGAGGAGAGCGACCCTATAGGAAGGCCAGCAGTCTCAACTAAACTGAATCCCTAAGATCTCTCATACAATGAACCATAGATCAGGCAGCATACACTAGCTGATATGATGCCCCTGACACATATACAGCAGAGGACTGCCTGCCCTGCCTGAGTTAAGAAGAGGCACCTAATCCCTAAGACACTTGAGGCCCCCGGGAGTAGGGAGGTCTGGTGGGATGGGGGAGAAGATGGTTGGGACATCTTCTCGGTGACATGGAAGGAGGAATGGGATGGGGAATGGTCAGAGAGGGATAACAACTGGACTGTAGAAAATGATTTAAAAAATAATACGAATGACACGACTACTGATGAATAGAAATGCAAAGACACCATTACATTTGCAGGCAAACGGGTGAAACAAGAAAACATCACGCCGAGTGAGGTAACCCAGACTCAGTAAGACATGCACAGTAGGTAGTCACTACAAAGTGGACAGTAGAGAGGAGGTGAAGCCTGTCTGCGTTGAGAGGAGGTGGTGGCAGCCGCTGAGGTGGAGGGCGTAGTGTGCCGGGCGGAGGCCCTGACGGATTCACAATACCATCCTTTCAAGAAGTCCCGTTGCAGACTTCCAACTTTGCCCATGTCATCTTTCAAAATGTGGCTAAAAGTTACCTTCCTAATGCACACTTGGAGTGCCATTACCCCGTAACTCCATCCATCCGTCCACACGCCAAAGACTGGGTTGGTATATTCAAGGTTGGCTGGAATACTGCTCGTGAATATTACACATTTTTATGGTCTCCTATGCCTGAAGATTATGTAGAAGGATCAACAGTCAATTGTGTACAAGCATTTCAGGGATATTACCTTCCAAATGATGATGGAGAATTTTATCAGTTCTGTTATGTCACCCATAAGGGTGAAATTCATGGAGCAAGTACTCCTTTCCAGTTTCGAGCTGCTTCTCCAGTTGAAGAGCTGCTCACTATGGAAGATGAAGGAAATTCCGATATGTTGGTGGTGACCACAAAAGCTGGCCTTCTTGAGCTGAAAATTGAGAAGACCCTGAAAGAAAAAGAAGAATTGTTAAAGATGATAGCCATTCTTGAAAAAGAGACAGCACAGCTGAGAGAACAAGTTGGAAGAATGGAGAGAGAGCTGAACCACGAGAAAGGACAGTGTGAGCAACTGCAGGCCGAGCAGGAGGGCCTTCTTGAAGTGTCACAGAGTTTGAGAGTGGAAAATTAAGAGTTTATGAAGAGATACAGTGATGCTACATCTAAAGCTCAACAACTTGAAGAGGACATTATATCAGTGACACATAAAGCAATTGAAAAAGAAACTGAGCTAGACAGTTTGAAGGATAAACTCAAGAAGGCACAGCATGAAAGAGAACAACTTGAATGCAATTGAAGGCAGAAAAGGATGCGAAGGAACTTTATAAGGTACATTTGAAGAATACAAAAATAGAAAATACGAAGCTTGTGTCAGAGATACAGACTTTAAAGAATTTAGATGGGAACAAAGAAAGCATGATTACTCATTTCAAAGAAGAGATTAGCAAACTGCAGTCCTGCTTGGCTGACAAGGAAAATCTGCACAGAACTCTCCCGCTTACAACCACAAATAAAGAAGATACATTATTTTTAAAGGAGCAACTTCGCAAAGCGGAGGAACAAGTCCAGGCAACACAGCACGAGCTTCTCTTTCTGGCTAAAGAGCTCAGTGATGCTGTGAATGTCAGAGATAAAACAATAGCAGATCTGCATACTGCATGCTTGGACAATGAGAGAGTGAAGAAGCAGCTGGCCGACACACTGGCAGAACTCCAGCTACGTGCTGTAAAGAAAGATCAGGAAAAGACTGATACACTGGAACATGAACTGAGAAGAGAAGTTGAAGATCTGAAACTCCGGCTTCAGATGGCTGCAGATCATTACAAAGAAAAGTTTAAGGAATGCCAGAGGCTCCAAAAACAAATAAACAAACTTTCAGACCAGTCAGCCAGTGCTAACGGAGTCTTCACAAAGAAAACTGGGACTCAGCAGAAAGTGAGACCTGGCTGCTTCTTCTGCTTCTTCTGCTGCTTCTTCTGCTTCTTCTGCTTCTTCTGCTTCTTCTGCTTCTTCTGCTTCTTCTGCTGCTTCTGCTGCTTCTTCTTCTGCTTCTTCTGCTTCTTCTGCTTCTTCTGCTTCTGCTTCTGCTGCTTCTGCTTCTGCTTCTACTTCTGCTGCTTCTTTGCTTCTGCTTCTGCTTCTGCTTCTGCTGCTTCTGCTTCTGCTTCTCCTGCTTCTTTGCTTCTGCTGCTGCCTCTGCTGCTTCTGCTTCTGCTGCTGCTGCTGCTGCTTCTTCTTTGCTTCTGCTTCTGCCGCTGCCACTTCCTCTGCTCTCCTCCTCCTGCTCCTGCTTCTGCTCCTGCTTCTGCTCCTGCTCCCTGCTCCCTGCTCTCCCTGCTCTCCCTGCTCTCCCTGCTCTCCTCCCTGCTCTCCTCCCTGCTCTCCTCCCTGCTCTCCCTGCTCTCCCTGCTCTCCCTGCTCTCCCTGCTCCTCCTCCTGCTTCTGCTTCTGCTGTGGATGTAAAACCAGCAGTGTCTTGTGCAGAGACAGATTTTGATGTGTCAATAAAGGATCATGTCTGTGAAATGACTAAAAAAATTGCTGAGAAAATAGAAAAGTATAATAAGTGTAAACAACTCCTGCAGGATGAGAAAACCAAATGCAGTAAATACACTGATGAACTTGCAAAATGGAGCTGAAGTGGAAAGAACAAGTGAAAATTGCTGAAAACATAAAACTTGAACTAGCTGAAGTAGAGGATAATTACAAACTACAGTTGGCAGAGAAAGACAAAGAAATAAATGGTTTGGCTTCATACTTGGAAAATCTCTCAAGGGAGAAGGAACTTACAAAGAGTTTAGAAGATCAAAAAGGAAGGAAAATGGAAGGCCAGAGCCCCCAACAAGTCTCAAAGTGTCTCAACACATGCTCTGAGCAAAATGGGCTCCTTCCGCCACTGTCAAGTGCACAGCCAGTTCTTCAGTATGGCAACCCTTACACAGCACAGGAAACAAGAGATGGAGCAGATGGTGCTTTTTATCCAGATGAGATCCAGAGGCCACCTGTGCGAGTCCCACCTTGGGAAGACAATGTTGTCTGTAGCCAGCCTGCTCAAAACCTTAGCCGGCTGGACGGTTTAGAAGACCTGAGGATAGCGGAGAAGATGAGAATGTGCCCGTTACTCCTGATCCAGCAAACCAGCTTTTACGTCCTCATGGAGCAGGCTTCTGCTTTGATTCCAGCTTTGATGTTCACAAGAAGTGTCCCCTCTATGAATTAATGTTCCCTCCTAACTATGATCAGACCGAATTTGAAGAACATGTTGAAAGTCACTGGAAGGTGTGCCCGATGTGCAGTGAGCAGTTCCCGCCAGACTACGACCAGCAGGGCTTTGAGAGGCATGTTCAGACTCATTTCGATCAGAATGCTCTCAACTTTGACTAGCTTTTAGTAAGAGGTAGTACAATGTAGCAGTTAACTGAGTAACAATATACATCTGGGCAACTCAGTGATTCAAACACAAGATGTGCAGTTTTTTGAGACTATAACTAATACTGTTTAATATCACTTGTTTATTTTCTCAAAAAGAGATTTTAATCACTCTTAAATTCAAAGATCTAAACTGTTGTACATCTGTATTCCTGCCCCTTGGCTAGCTACAATAAATGGGTTAACAACCAAAAAAAAAAAAAACCAAACCAATCTCAAACAGAGGCTAAGGAGATTGCCGGGTGTCACTTTCAGGTTCCTCCTCTACACTTTCCTGATCAAGAACTTCTTTAGAGTGTGCTGTCACTAGGGTACAGCTTTGGCTACAATAAATCCAGTTTTAATCTGTTTTAAAAAGAAGTGGACATTAGCTACAAAATACAGAATAACTACTCCTCAATCGACAGAGTCAGAGAAACTAAAGAACATGGGTGGCCCAAGAGAGGTTGATTAAGTCTGATTCAGAAGAAACATTACAATAGACACCAGAGGTGGAGGGAGGGAGAGAACTGGGTGAGAGAGGGGTTCATGAGTGGCAGATGGAACCAGATGCAAACACCCAATGCCCAACACTAGGCAGGGCTTGGGGAGTCTTGTGGAAGGGTTGGAGTGAGAACTGAGGGATCCAGAAGGTCGAGGACACCAGCAGACGACCTACATAGTCAACTAACTGGGGCCCCATGGGGGCTCACAGGGATTGAACCACCAACCAAAGTGCTTGCAGAGGTTGAAAGTAGGGCCCACTACACCTTTGTAGCAGATGTGCAGCTTAGTGTTCATGGGGATCCCCTAAAATTTGATCGGGAACTGTCTCTGACTCAGTTGCCAGCTTTTGGATTCCCTTCCCTCACCTGGACTGCCTGGGTGGGCCTCAGTGGGACAGGATGTACTCCTTCCAGTTGATTGTTGAGGCTGGTTGACATCCAAGAGGGTAAGTCTCTCCTCTCTGAGAAGGAAACAGAGTAATGTGGAAAGTGATTTATGAAGTCATTAATATGACTGGAAGAAGGAACTACAATCAGAATGCAAAGTGAATAAAATTTAATGGGAAAAAATAACTCAAACAGCACAGAAAACAGTCCATAAATTGAAAATGAAATTATATAAAATTAAAAGGCCCTGTGCAAAAGAAACATGTTTACGTCTCATGCCTAGAGGATCAGAAATCATCCCAACAGTGAAATTCTCTGTGAGGTCTTAACATTTAGAATATACAAAGAATGAGGATGATTAAATCTCAAAAAGCAACTAATCAATAAATGGACTAAAGAACAGTTTTTTAAAGGCAATACACAGAGAAGGATAACTATTTTACCAATTCTTCAACATTCTTAGCTTTTCAGGTTAAGTAAGGTTTGGAATATATAAAAAATTCAAGAAATCAGACAGCAACAAAATAACCAAATCAAATAATAAGGTACAGAGCATAAAAGAGAATTCTTCAATATTCTATTTCTTCAGGTAAATTCAGATTAGGGCAACACCGAGATGCCATTTTGCCTAATGACAATGACTGAGAATAACACAAATGAGAAATTCTAGCAAAGATGCAGGAAGGGACCTGTCAGGAGCTGCTATTGGGTGTGTAAACTAGAGCCGCATGGTGGAAATCAGTACAGAGGTTCTTATTGTCTTTCCTTTTCATTGAGGGTTGGGTGGAAGAGGCACTCTTTGTGACTGTGCAGAAGCCTGCACTGGATCAGGAGAGATGGAACTGGAAGAAGTATGACCTGTATGTGGTATACTAGAGAGCTGCAACATGTAACAGAAGAGCCTCCCGCTGCCATAGCAAGCAGATCTCTGGTGCCTCTGGCATTGCCAGCACTGAATGCTTGTTTGCAATCCACACCCATATTTTTAGACCAGGAAGTCAGGTATGAGATGAGTCTGCTACAGGAAACTAAATACAGACCTGAACTTAAGGACATGGGGTGAGTCCTTCTTCTGCTCTGTGTCAATGTGAAGTTTACTAAAAGTGTCTGCCCATGCTGCAACTGATCCCTGAGACCCTGTGACTCAAAGATGGCCACAAGAACTCAAGTGTCCACTGTGGTGGATTCAGCCTCAAAGCAAAGCTGTTGCCTTCCACGGCAAAATCTTATGTAAATAGTCATAAAAATCCAGTCCATGGTTTCCAGCTTCATTATTAATAGTGCAAACTGTGAATGCTCACGGCACTTTCAGGTTATAACTTAAATATCTTTTTTTAAAAAGCATTTATTCGTGTGTGGCGTTGCTGCTGCTGCTGCTGCTGCTGCTGCTGCTGCTGCTCTTATCTGTGTGTTTATATACCATGTGGGCACTTGTGTGGCTTTTTAGACAACATGAGGTATCACTGATCTTCTTTCATCATTTCTATCTGGGCCCTAATCAGGTTGCCAGGTTATATAGTGGGTGCTTTTACCTCCTGAGCCAAATGGACCTCTGACCTACACCTCAAACCTCTGGAGCCTTGTGTCCAAGGCCTTAAGTTGAGCAAGCTCAGGATGGTACAGCCCTCCTTCACTGAGCATACTCTAGATCAGACTCTCCCATATACCACTGGATAAAATCCACATGCATCTGTGTTCAGGGAAGATGTTGCCATTCAAAAGAGGTACATACTCTTCTTACCTTTGATAGATGATGAGTCTTCACTCTCTATGCCCCGTCTTTGTTATTTTGCTTTTGTACTCACTAACACAAGAACCACCGTTGCTCAGTTACACCATCTCTAAACAGAGTAGCAGCAGGCAGCACCACTTGCAGGTGTGTGTGCTCATGTGATAATCCACATCCCTAAAAGAAACTTGACTAAAGCCCAAAACACTCTTTGAACCTCACACAATAATAGTGGGAGACTTCAAAACCCCACTCTCACCAATGGGAACGTCATTGAAACAGTCAGCAAACAGAGACACAGTATAGCTAACAGAAGTTACAAACCAACAGAAAGCCCACACACTCATGGAAACTGCACAATACTCTACTCCATAATAAATTGGTCATGGAAGAAATAAAGAAAGAAATTAAAGACTTTCTAAAATTCAATAAAAATGAAGGCACTGGATACCCAAATTTATGGGACACAATGAAAGGAGTGCTAAGAGAGAAAATTCAGTGTAGCAAGTGCCTTCATAAAAAAATTAGAGAGAACTACACTAGCAACTTAACAACATTCCTGAAAGCTCTAGAAAAAAGAAAGCAAACATGCCAGGAGGGGTAGACTGTAGGAGATGGTCAAACTCATGGCTGAAATCAACCAATTAGAAACAAAGAACATGAGACAGAGAATCAACAAAACCTAGGACTACTTCTTTGATAAAATCAACACAATAGATAAAGCACTTGGAAAACCGAGTAAAGTGCATAGAGACAATATCCAAATTTACAAATTCAGAAATGAAAAGGGATACAAAACAACAGAAATTGAGGAAATTAAAAAACTCATCAGATCTTTCTACTAAAGCTTGTACTCAACAAAACTGGAAAATCTAGATGAAATGGATAATTTTTGGTATGTGTGACAGTTAATAAATACCAAAGTTAAATCAAGACCAGGTAAAATATCTAAACATTCCCATAACATATAAGGAAATACAAGCAATCATTAACATGTCTCAACCAAAAAAGTCCTGGGCCAGATGCTTTTAGTGCACAATTCGACCAGACCTTCAAAGAAGAGCTAATACCAATACTCCTCAAACTGGTCTATGAAATAGAAAGAGAAGGAACCCAATCTAACTCATTCTATGAGGCCACAGTTACTCTGATACCTAAACCACATAAAGACTCAACAAAGAAAGAGAACTTCAGACCAATTTCACTTATGAATATCACTGCAAGAATACTCAATAAAATCCTAGCAAACTAACTATAGAACACATGAAAACCATCATTCCCTACACATCTGTAGCAGTTGTACAGCACAGGCTACATGTGGGTCCTGTAAGATTGCAGCAGGAGCTGTCTCTGACTCTGTTGCTTGCCTTTGGCTTCCCTTACCCCTGCTGGATTGCCTGTGTAGACCTCAGTTAGACAGGATGTACTTAGTCCTGCTTCCAGTTGATTGTTGGGGCTTGTTGGTACCAAAGATGGGGTGTCTCCTTGAAGGAGAAGGAAAGGAGTATTGTGGGAGGAATTTCTGAGGGTAGGACTGGAAGGAAGGACTATGATCAGGATGTAAAGTAAATACAAAAATAATGGGAAAAAGAACAACAATAACACATAAAGAAGCCCTATAAATTGAAAATGAAATTACATGAAATTAAAAGTTTCTGTGCAGATAAAGATGCTTGCACTACAGGTCTAGAGGATGGAAAGCCATCCTACCAGTGAAATTCCAATGTGGGGCCTTAACATTTAGAATGTACAAACAATTGCGATTTAAATATCAAAAATCAATCAAAAATAGACTAATGAACAGTTTTAAATGAAACACACAGAGTATAATAACAATTTTACCAATTGCTCAATATTGTTAGGCTTGAGATAATTCAAGTTAAAAATATTTAAAGAACTCAAGAAAATGGCCACCATCAAACAAAATAGCCCAACAAATAATAAGATACAGAGCATAACAGGGAATTCACAACAAAGTTTCTTCAATGTTCTTAGCCATCATATAAATTCAAATTAGGGTAACATCAAGATTCCATTTTACTTAATAACAGTGAGTGAGATCTAAATAAATGAGGAATTCTACCAAAGATCAGGGAGGGAAGGGACATGTCAGGAGCTCTTATTGGGCCTGTAAACTGCAGCAGCATGGTGGACATCAGTACAGAGGTCCTTAAAAATAGAACCACCATAGGACCAGGTGTACTATTTCTAAGCATGGGCTCAAAGGATGTGCTCTACTTCCTGCCAAGAAGATAGTTGCACATCCCATGTTGTTTGTGGTAATACTCCCAACAAGAAGACAATTAGGTATTTAAAATACCTAAATAAATTCTATTAGAGTTTGCTAATTTATA